CATGTGTCTCCTCCAGGGCCTTTTCTTCCTCACCTTCCTCCCTTTCTCCAGCTCCTCTCACTTCTTGCCCCTCAGCTCTGCCCTTCCTTAGGGTGGGGCAGGGAACCTGGAATCTGTCTCTTCCCTGGGGATTACCCTGTTACACCTGGTATGATACGCTGGTGTGTGCATTGAATGTGGCTTTACACATTCTAGGGCTAGTGGCCTTGAGTGTAATATTAACCTCTTTACTAAAGTCAGCTAAGACAATATTTCCCACATTGCTTAAGGGTCAGGTCAGCAGAGGCCTGTGCAGCAGCCGCAGGAGGAGAGGGCACTACTGACCACCATGAGATGTCCAGCTAATATGTGCTTGGCACAGGGTTAGATACTTTGTTAAGAATTAACAATGAACAATTTTAAAAAGTGTTTAGTGCCAAGTTATTGTGCTGCTACATCATCTATGTATAACACAATATTGTATACCCCAGGTTGCTATTTCCATTTCTCAGTAAAGGAGACAGACTTTGAGTGGCTTAGGCCACGCATTGAATAAGTGAAGGGACCAGGACAGAAAATGAGATTGGTCTGGTCCTAAACTTTTGCTGTTTCTCTTTCCCATACTGTTTCCTATTTATTGATAGTTACCTTGTGGTCTGAGAATCACCTGGAGGGTGGAAGGAAAGTCCATTTGGGTTGACTTGAGGGAATGCTGCACCAGGAAACTAATCTTTGCCACCCTCCAGTATGTCCTCAGGCTTCACCCTGCAATCAGCGTCCTGGGGTGAGAGAGGCAGATTCTTCAGGGCTACTCCAGAATGGGACAGGGCCTCTACAGGAGTGGCCAGGAGTGGCTAAGGGGGAGAGAGAGTGCATGTTTTCTGTTCTGCTTGGACTCTATATGAGACTGTCCTGAACTGGTTTCTGGCCCCTTGGGAGAGGGTGATGGTGGAATCTGTTCACAAAGGTTGTGCCTGAGGACAGGTCCAACTGCCCTGACCAGTTACATGTTAGCATGTGAGAACTGTTGCTGATGCTGCTTTCTGTAGATGCTAAAGCTGAGGCAAGCTGGAATGCAAAAGCCTACCTGTGAAACTCGCCCAGAGACAAGCTGAATGTATACCTAACGTTAGCTGCAGGAGGCTAGTGTTTAGATAGTATTCTCTGGCCACAGCATAGGGGATATTTAGCCAACTTTCTGAAACAACTCACACATCTTTGTGGACCATCTGAGGCCATGAAAGGTGATTGTAAGGAAACAGCTTGATATCCATTGAAAGCAGAGGTTCCAGGTTTCCTGTCCCCACCCTTAGGAAGCCATGAGGTGAGCAGCAAGGGGAAGATAAAACGGCTTGGAAGAGGACTGAGGAGGAAGAATAGACAGGTGGCAAGCTTTTGGGATAACCCTACTTGGCTGGACATTTACCAGTGTGTGTGTGGGTTAACTTTGGGTGTTCACTTGGAAACTACCTTAATTACATTCTTTCTCTTCTGCACTAATTATATATATATTTTTTTTTTATTACAAAAGTTTATTTTTACATCATTTTGTACATTTTTTTTCCCATCTCGATTGTAATCCCCGCGGGTTTCCCATCACCAAATCACCCGTGTGCCATCACCATAATCCCGCTGCACTAATTATATTAAAGTTATTTTCTATTTGAAGGTCTTACACACAAAGAGAATGCTTGTCTTTATGCGGTGGATGTCAGAACTCATTTAGAAAGTGCAGGTTTGGGGTCCCGAGGTACCCTTCATTTTGCCTGCTAACATAAGGAGCATTTACTTCTAACAGGGGAGTGCTCCGAAGTCCCCACAGGTGATGAACTCTGGCTGTGAAACATTATGGCAATGCTCATTCATAAAAGAGACAGATTGTGAATGTTTAGCACCCCACTTATTTTCTGAGTATATAAAACACTCTCCCCCTGGAGATAAAAGAGGGAAAAGAAGAGACTAATACAAGTGGAATGAAAGTCTAGGAAACTGGAGAGAGACAAGCTCAGGCTGGAAAAGTCCGGAGGAAGCCAAGAGGAGAGGGCAGGGCAGCCTTGTGCTTCTGAGCAGCTCTGGAGAACAATAGCGCTATCTCTTGTCCCTGTTTCTCTGTTCTCCTTGGTCTATTTGTGGCATTTGAGCTTTAGGCAAAGAGTCAGTAAGCAAGGCAGGGATGCTAGGCCTGTCTGATTGAAGCAGGAGCCTTGTCAGAGGTTTCCACAGGGAATCTCTCCAAGAGGCAATCTCCTGCAAGAGGGGGTCTTGGCTCTGAGGGCCCATGGCTGTGAGACACCCCAGATCATGGTTTCCGAGTACATGGAATCCTGTTGCCACATTCTGGGAAGCCTCACTCTGTGCCCAGTGGTCGCCCTGTCTCCTGATGGGTGGGGTTTTCTTTGAAGCTCTTTGAAGCCTTCTCAAGGTACCTGCCCATTCTGGCCAAGATCTTGCCTCAGTGGATGGGCCTTGGCTCTGACGTTGAGCTCTGTTCCCAAGAAGCGAAGGATGTGGGTTTAACCTACCCAGAGCTGAGGCATGGGGGGCCCTCTCGTGTGTTTCGTGGCCAGGGGCTCACTTCATCGGTGGCAGGGCTCTGACTCCCCTGATCACAGCCACAGGACAGCGACAATCATGTCAGCCTTTACTTGGGGCTTCCTGCTGCGGTGTTCCACGTTCTCATTTTTTGAGCAAGTGAAGGACCTTTCTATTGCTCCGGTCCCATATCTGGACTATCTGCCCCGCTCTGTTTTTGAAGAGAAATACTGGCCAGATATACAGGTTCACAGAGAGCAAGTTAAGGAGAACTCACTAAGGCCAGTGTATCCCTACTCCAAGCTGAATGCAGGTGTGGGCCGAGGGCTCACGAAGCCAGAGATAGAGGTCTTTTTCTCTCTCTCTCTTTTTTTCCCCCCCATTTTTACTAAATGGAAAAAAATGTTTTGGGGAGAGCAATGTTTTTTGGGGAAGGGAGTAATTTAAGGCATTATTTTTCTCTGAAATAAAACTATACAATGTGCTTATATTGAAAAATTCAAGGGCCTCGTTGGTGGCACAATGGGTTAAAGCACAGCACTATGAAGCTACCACAGCCACTGCAGCACAAGTTCGATCCCTGACCAGGGAGCTGACTCACATGGCGTGGCAGACCTCTCCTGACCCACTGCTGCTCCCCTCAGCAGAGTATTTCAGTAGGTTCAAATGTTCTGTTCCCTACTCTGTATCTGGTGAATCCTCTCACCTCCCACACCTCTGGCCTGTACCCCATTTCTGTATGCATAAATAAATAAATCTACCCCCAAAAGAGAAAAATTCAAATAAGTTACAGTTTTGCAATGTTAAATGTTTTTTACATTGAAATAAGTATGAATTTATATATGTTTCAGAAATACATAGAACTCTCCTAGATGCCTTTCTCAGAGTCCCCAGCGATGAGCAGTCCTGAAATATTTGAGACTGATGCTGCCCCATTGCCCCTTAATATTAAAGGGAATATTTCCTAATTACAAGCACTATTGCCTATAGAACCCCAGTACAGCCTCCAAAGCAGGAAATTAACATAGATCCATTATTACCACACACGAAATTTTAAGAAAATATATAAGAGAGAATGCACAGAGTTATCCTAGGAATATTAGTTGACTGAAAATCGGTGGCTCCAGAGAAATCTCATGATTGCCTGTGGCTTTTGGCATTTTCTTTGCCATCTCCAATGCTCTAGGGAAAAGTCCTACAAGCATTACTTGTGGGGTCCTGTTGACCATGGAAACCCTGGATGCACCAACTTCGAGGGTGAAAATGATGAATCTTACCTGAGAGAAAACGTCTCAGCATGTCTCAGGCCCACCGGAGTTCCACCAAACAGGGCCCTGGGCTGTTTTCACCCTGGTCCTGCTATTTCCAATAGCAGATGGAAAGCGAAGACCTTTGTTTCTGCTGTGTGCCTTTATCTATGTCTCCAACAGCCAATAGCCAGGACCAGGATACGCTTGACTAGTAAATATGCCACAACTTCTTGGATGCTATTTTTTTTTCCATCTCAGGGACACAATGTGAACATTCAGGTAAAGGAGATATGGTCTAGGAGAGAGAAACAGTAATGCATACATGTCAGGATCATGGGCACTAAACACTCTTTGGATGAACATGCTTTTGTCTCATGTCCAGGAATCTCCTATTTTCAAGCTGATTTGCCTGTATAGTGAGTTTGACATTGGAAAATGTCTGAGATCCACTTGGGCCCACTAATTAGAAGGCCAGTTTGAAGACTTTACTGGATTTAGTCAAGAAACTGAGCTGTTACTAAATCAGACATGTGACCTTGGGCAAGGTTTTAAGTATTCTGCATTTAATTTTTCTTATTTGCAGTTTGAGGAAGGCAGAACTAGATGATCACTGAGGTCCTTGGGTACAATCCCTTGTAATTAATTATAATTTATGTCTATTGCAGGAGCCTAAAACTAAGGCGATACGAACTTCTATCTTGTACTAAATGCCATGGCCCAGGTTGGCCATGCAAGTTTCTGTGTGAAACCATAGAAAGTGTCAATGGTGGTATTTCTCCACTGTACCAATCCACTGGAAAGCAGTGGAGGGCCCTGGGCAGTGGGGGAAGACCATGAATAGCAGAAGACAAAGTAAGGTGGAGTGAATCAAAGGATGGGGGAAATGCAAGAGGTCTCTGAGGCTGAAGGTGAGGGGATGGTGAGAGGCAGGAGCAGTGAGAGGAATGGGGGGTGATTTGGAAATGACACTAGAGCTTTTCTTCCATGAAAAGCTATGATAATTATGCCCTTTGAAAAGGAACTGGTATGGAGGACACCCTAAAAAATTAGAGACCCTAAACCTTCTGTCTTCTCTTTTTATCTTTGAAATTATGAAAGGTGGTTCTCCCTGGTGGTGCAATGGGTTAAAGCACAGCACTAAGAAGCTAAAACCACTTCAGCATGAGTTCGATTCCTGCTACGCGGCAGACCTCTCCTGACCCTCCTGCTGCTCTCCTCAATAGTGTGCTTCGTTGATCTGCCTGGTCTGCTCCCCACTCTGTCTCTGGTGAGTCCTCTCACCTCCCTGCTTCTGACCTGTTCTGTATGAATAAATAAATAAATGTTAAAAAAGGAAATTATGGAAGGTAGAAATAACAAAGTTTCTTTTAACTGAAATAGTCTTAAAAGAACTACTTGCTATCCTTTTTTTTTTTGCTCTAATCGAAAGCATTCTTCCTTACCCCTACTTTACTCCAACTTACCTCATCTATAGAAATTAATGCATATTGTTCTCTTTGTTTGACCTTGAAACTTACCTTACCTACGTTTGGCTAGGAACTTTTTTTTGGCAAGTAGAAGCTGAGGAGGAGTTTGGCTTCTTTTGTTTAAATCCTTTGTTTTCTGTCACGGTAATCAGGCCTGCTCTATCCATCACTGGTTTGGCCACTCATCATTTGACACTACAGCAATAAATAAAAATGATAATACCTCTCAAACATTTCCCATATGTCAGCTGTTGTACCAAATACCCCTCCTCCCCACATACACACATTTAATCTACCTACTGATCCAATGAGGTAGATTGTCTTTATATAGATGAAAAATTCCTATTTCCAGAACTCAGGAGATCTTAGTATCATAGTATCATCATTTCCACTACTAGCTGGCATCTTTCCTTACCTCCCCTGTGTGAACTATAGGTGTCCTGTAAGATGTCATTAACAATGTGGACTTTCTCTTTTCCCTGTGGCTCTGTAGTGGCTCCCAAGCTTTCCAGATCTGAGGTCCTGCGCAGATACACATCATGGTAAGAACTATGACTGTTTTTCTTTCTACCCCACCATGTTAGGGTGAGTGAATTAGGAGGATGGCTTTAAAAGAGTGAGGATCTGAAGTCTTAAATATTTGGAAGCCCAGTTGCACAGGAGCAGAGGAGAAAAGGAATGAAGTGGGTCAAGGCTTTCTCAGAGGCAAGGGTCTCTGTGTGTTGCTCTAGCTGGTCTGTCTGTTTTCTGCTGCTGTCACTCTGAGGTTATGTCTAGGGCCAGCAACACCATGAAGAGAGCCAGTTGAATCAATCATGGAGAAGGATCCTTGTCTCTTCACAGTGTCCACGGTCACTTCAGAGTGTGGAAACCTCAGGGGGCCAGGGTCACATGGAAAAGTTCCTACTAATCTACCTCAGAGTTTCACTGCTAGAAAAACCAGCTCAGTTCCTAGGTTACTTTTTTTTTTCTTCAAGACTTATTTACTTAGGCATACAGAACTGGGGCACAGGCCAGAGGTGCAGGGGTGGTGAGAGGATTCACCAGAGACAGAGTGGGGAGCAGAACAGGAAGATCGACGAAGTACACTGCTGAGGGGAGCAGCGGGTGAGACAGGAGAGGTCTGCTGAGGGAAACAGCAGGTAAGACAGGAGAAGTCTCCTGGGTCACCTCCTTGGCTGGGGATGGAACTCCCCTTGAAGTGGTCATGCCAGCTTCACAGAGCTGCGCTGTAACCCTTTGTGCCACCAGGAAGGGCCCTTGGTTACTTTCTTTATTGGACTCCATTTCTGCTCCTCAGTTTCAGGCTGAAACAATTCTCTTTAGTCACCTACAAGCTCTCCTCTCTTCTCCAAGCTCCTGTCCCCAGTAACAGAAATGTCTCATAACTAATCAGTCTCCTCACATTCCTCCACTTTTAAGTAAGAATGCATTAAGATTCAGTCAGACTTGCTATGCACAAACCTCTTATTCATTTTGGATCTTGACTTCAGCCTTTGGAAGGCTGACTAGCCAAATGCCTATTTCAACATTATTCCTGGCACCTCTAAACTTGGCTGAGATCAAGAGCATGTGAAGGAATGGACAACTGTCACATCTAATCAGAACAGTAATGAGAACAAGGCAGGTCACTTGGATTCATTGTTAATATCTGAAAAGTCACTTTCAAATATTGGTGAACATTTGTGTTGTAAGTGAAAATTTCCTTATGAACTTCTAAAAATGTTGAAATTCTATCAGTAAGTGGAAGTAAGTATAAATGCACATATATTCCCTTAAGAAAAATGCTATACTAATTAATGGCTATAAAAGCTTAGATTTATGCCAAACAATTATTAAACATTTTAAAAGTTAAAAACAGGAAAATTAGTTGACAGTTAATATAAATAATAGGATTGAATGTCATTATTGGAAATGACATTCAAGAAGAATGTCATTAAGAAGAACCTTAAATCCTTTTTCAGCTCAACTTAAAACAATATAAAGTATTATTTAACTGATAGTGTAAGGCAGAACAATGGAAATCAGCTCATTTATTAAAATTCTATTTCATTATATGATAATCTTTGTAAAATTGATTGATATCATGCTAAGTAAAATAACCTTTAAAGATTATACTTTTTTTTTTTAAAGATTTATTTATTTGTGCATACAGAACTGGGGTATAGGCCAGAGGCTCAGGGGCGGTGAGAGGCTTTACCAGAGACAGAGTGGGGAGCAGAACAGGCAGATTGAGGAAGCACACTGCTGAGGGGAGCAGCGGGCGGGACAGGAGAGGTCTGCCGCGCCATGTGGTCACCTCTGGAGCAGGCGGGAATCGAACTCATGCAGAAGTGGCTTAATCTTCTTAGTGCTGTGCTTTAACCCTCTGTGCCACCAGGGAGGGCCTAAAGATTATACTTTTTAAGAGGATTTTTTTCCCCTGAAGTCTGAGTGAGATGCAGTAAATGACATAAATGTTAAGGGAAAGCTCAGTGGGGTTTCATGAACACATGCAGACCAACAGTAAAACATTTCCAGCTACCTCTTACCCTTTCCCAGCTAGAACTCCTCAAGTTTACCACTATTCTGCTTCTATCATCATAGGTTTCTTTAGAATATTTAGGTATTTAATACGACTTAGGTCTTTAGAGTCTTTCAGGAAAAAGTCTCATTTGAAAATTCTCATCAGAGAATCTATTAAATCTATTAAACACAGTGTTGCCATCTCAAAATTTTGTGAAGATGTCTTCAAAATCACAATATCCATAAGAAAAAGCATCAGAGGCTCTCCCTGGTGCGGCAAGGGGTTAGAGCATAGCATTATGAAGCTGTCTGCAGGCTGCAGCACCAGTTTGATCCCAGGCTAGGGATGTGGCCCAAATGGTGCAACAGATCTCCTGTCTGTCCCTGCTCTTCTTAGCAGTGGATTTCAACAGCTCTGCCTGTTCTGCTCCCTACTCTGTCTCTGGTGAATCCTCTCTCCCCCTGTACCTCTGGCCTGTACCCCAGTTCTTGTATGCATAAATAAATATATATATATATATATTTTAAGAATATCTATCTATTATAAAGAATCATGAAAAGAAAAGTGAAGAGAAAAATAGCTATATTCAAATATCTTGGTTTTCTGTGTACTTTGGTTAAAAGTCACCATGTCTTTAGAATATAAAGAGGGCACGGCCACCACAGAACGGACTTTACTCAGTCACTTGGCATTTGGCCACAAGGTCTATATTTAGTGCACTTCAACTTTCAAGAGTCATCAAATGCTTGGCCCCACTCTCTGCTTGAATTGTTCCAGGATCTGCTCACTTTTCTTCTCATCACCTCTTCCCTACCCTCTCTCCTTATCATCAGAACCTCCTGGTCCACTGGCCCCACTAGCAGGACTCTGCCTGCAGATTTGCCCTCTAGCCTCCTCCCAACATGGCTGTTGCAGAAGAAAGCCCTCAAGGCGAACTGGATATCACCAAAGCTGGATATGACCAGTCCAGGATATTGCTACCGGCAGTTATGAGTGAAAGTCCACCAGTGCCCAGGGTCACTGAAGCTTCTTGAATGCCACTATGTCCCATAGTCCTGTTGGGTAGGTGCTCATACTCCCATTTTACCACAGAGAAACACAATTGCAGAGAGGTTCAGTAGTTTCCTTGAGGGTATATAGCCAGAAACAGGCAGAGTCAAGATGGATGCCTAATTCTGTCTGACTCCAAAGCTTACTGTAACTCAGTAAGGAGAAAAAGGAACACCGGCGTTGCTGGGGAGCAAAGGTCTAGAGTAGACTCCCCAGTTGGGAAGAGAAGGTCTCACCACCTCTCTGGAAGTAAGGTAGAATGAGCATAGGGCATCGTGCAGCTGTTTGTGGTGATATAGGGAAGAGAGGAGGGACCGTGGCAAGGCAGGGAGCTCTCAGAACTTGCCATCAGAAAGCCAGAATTTCTTCAGTTCAGTGCACAAAAGGGGGAGAAATGGTGTGTGCAGCCCAGGGGGTCCGGGCTGGCATTTCCACACCTCAACCCTCTGTCCAGGGCAGACTGCCAGAGTGAAGAACCAGGGAAGCACCGAGGCAGGAGAGATCATTATCTGGAGGAAGGAAGCTCTGGCAGCTCCCACCAGCCTGTTTGTGACAAGCAGGCTCTGGGCCACGGAAGTCCCTTGAGGTCAAGGGAAATGCGATCCTGGAGCAGGGGGATGGAGCTGGGACACTCCCCTGTCCCTAAAACTTCAGGAGATCTTCCCAGAGTGAAGGGCCCGAGAAGGGGGTGAAAAAAAAAAGGAGGGGGTGAGGAAAGAAGGGAGGGAGGGAGAGGGGAGAGAGGGTGAGAGAGCGAGAAAGTGTGCATACACACGCTGAATTAAGATAGATCCTGGAGCACATCATAAACAGACTCTTGGCTAGAGAGTTAGTGACCTTTATTGTAGCCAAAGCAGGACAGTGACTCTTCGAGCTCTCAGGGTACATTTCTTCATGGGTGAACTCTTACCTAGTTCTCTTGTGCCTGCAGAAGTTTCTCCCTTTCTGGCCCAATGGTAAAGCAGGGTTCTCTATTCAGACTAAGGAGACCTAAGTCCAACTTCAGATCCTGCTACTAACCAATCTGACCAGCTAATTATTTGAGCTTTGTGAAGTTTCCATCTCCTTATCCCCAAAGAAGACAAGTAATCCCTGTCAAGCCTAGCTCACAGGGATTCCTGTAGCCTCACCATGAAAAGCATGAAATGCTATATAAATATGAAGTGTCTTTTTTGACTTATCTTTCCTTCCCCTCACCATGAAAAGCATGAAATGCTATATAAATATGAAGTGTCTTTTTTGACTTATCTTTCCTTCCGGCCACCTCTCTGCACACAGGTCATTTCACAAGCACGTCAGGGCTGGGGACACTCTTTTAGAACAGAAACAGCGATGTACACAAGTCTTGCATACTGTTTTCCATTTATTTTCTCCTCTTGTTATGGGGCAAGAGAGAGAAGTCAAAGGCCCAGATGGCACCCTCACCTCTGAGCTTATTTAGTCCTGCTCTTGGGGATCACTTCTTGGAAACACAGCAACAGAAAAAGGAAAGACTCTATTTTGGAGCTTAGTCCACCAAGCTATCAACCTTATCTCCTCCACAGAGGAACCTGGGTTAGAAGGGCCCCCAGAGAGGAGGGGAGAGAAGCTTCAGCATTTAGGGAGAGTGGGTCAAAGATCTGGAGAAGGAACAAAGGTGCAGGCCAAGGGGGAGGAAGGCCGAGACCTGGAAAACTAAAAGACGTTGTCCAGGTGCACAGGAACCAGCTGGTAGCTTTGGTCATCTTTTGCTTGGGGCGGTTCACAGGCCACGATGAAGAAGGCATTCAACTGCCTCTCTTTGTACCTGCAGTGTGGGTACATCCCGGAAGTGAGATCGCAGCTGGTGGAAGACACACGCTCTTGGCTCTGGTGGCACTTGTCATGGCCGTTCTTGCAGGCTATGTTGGGGGTCTGGCAGGTGGTGGCCACGTCGGCAAAGGATTCATGCAGGAAGGTGTTGATATTCTTGCAGCGCCTCGTGTACTTGTTGATGTTGGCCATTGCTGCGTTGCATGGCTGGGGGCTCAGCTGCACGTGCTGAGTTTCGAACCACTGAGCTGAGGTCATGTTCTTGGGCTTGGCACAGACCGGGACCTCGGCCACCCACAGTCCCAGCAGCAGGAACAGCAGCAGGGGGCTGAATCCTGTTCTGGCCGGTGCCATCTCTCTTAGTGGGAACAGTCAGAATGGAAGGCTGGAGTGGATGAGGACAAAGAGCAGGCGGTCAGAAACTATCTCTATCTCTTCTCCTTCGCCAGTTCTGTCCCCTGCTGTCTCCTCTCCCTGACCCCCGCGTCTTCTCCTCTGTGTGCACATCCCAGCGGGCACATCTCCTAGTCCCATGGCTCCACGCCCCCTGGCCTCACATCCCCACCTTCCTGCCTTCTGTCACTGGCTCCCACTCTGTCCTGTCTCGTCTCCCTTGAATTTCATCCCCATTTGTCCCTATACTTTCTCTCTGTCTCATGCCTCCAAGACCCCACACCGTCTCTATATGCCCATTCTGCGCCTCCAGTCCCTCATTTCTCTCCCCTGTGTGCTCCCTCATTCCCTCCCACACGGAGCCTGTCCTTTGTCCTTCTGATCATTCTCCCACATGGACTCATCATGTCAGAACCGGCCCCTGCTCTGTGTTCTCACACATTCCCTCCCACACGGAGCCTGTCCTTTGTCCTTCTGATCATTCTCCCACATGGACTCATCATGTCAGAACCGGCCCCTGCTCTGTGTTCTCACACATTCCCTCGCACACGGAGCCTGTCCTTTGTCCTTCTGATCATTCTCCCACATGGACTCATCATGTCAGAACCGGCCCCTGCTCTGTGTTCTCACCTCACTGGGGTCCACGCAGGCTTCACCTTCTCACTGATTTCCCGTTCTGCGTGAGCTGAGAATGCCCCTACCTATGGCTGGGTCTCTGGTCTCTCTTCTCACCATAAGCGTCCTTCAGAGTGGCCCTGGCTGTGTTCCTTTCTGTTTGCGGGTGGACTGCGAGCAGTCCTGGGTCAGGAAATGAATCAGGGTCATGCCTCTCATTTACATGCCCGGTGTCCGGGAGGAGTGGATGCCTGCGGAGCTAGTGTACCTGCTGAAACATGTTCAGCAATGAGGAAGCGTGAATCCTCACATTTAAAGATTTGGCTTCCGGCAACATGGCATTCTGATGACAACGATAAAGCACCTGATCTAGGTGTTGACCCAACATGAATTTCAAAAAGAGTTGTCGCTTGTCTCTTCCTAGATGCCCTCCAGGAAGAGATCACAGATACCCTCACGATCCAGAGAAGAGCATGTCACGGTGTGTTGGGGTTGTGTTTCCTCTAACCTGATCTACAGGTAGAATAGCTTCTTTGTATCATTTCTTGCCATCATGACTTACCACTGCTTACTTTTCAGAGGAACTTGAAGAGACAGGGAGTGGAGGAGACATCACAGCCAAGACAGCCAGCATCACCCTAACTCAGCTCTTCTACTACAGTGGTTCATTCCGCTGAGTACCACCTGGCTTGGCCTGGAGAGGGCGCCTCCAGCACCTCTCATCCTGCCTTGTCCCTCTCTCCCTACTTTTATGGAAGTTCTCAAAACTGAGAATGCTTTTGGTGGTAGTGTTCTCTCAGCAGCCTGTCTGAGGCCTTCCTTGTTATGTATGCCTTGTTCTTCGTGGTAGTTAGAGCTGTGTGAGGAGTGTGGGTCAGTGCTGCTTGGGGGCCTATGGGGGGTGTCCATGGCATGTGGGACACCACTACACCGAGCCACAGAAGCATCACTGGCTGTAGTGGGAAGGCTTAGAAAGCTGAGCTGACCAGTATTTTTGTTTTCAGGGCTCACCTATAAGTAGTAGGTGATCTTAGAATTTTTTTGTCTCAGCTTTATTCATGTAGTCAAGAAATACTTATTGAGCACCTACTATGTGCTGAGGATCTATCAGAGAACATGAGAAAGAAATCCCTACCTCTGTGTTGCTTCCCACCCGTGGGAGGAAAGCTAATGTAAAAGTACCTACTTTGCTCAAAGAGGTAATTGCTGGATCTCCCTGGTGGACCAAGGGGTCAGTTCTCAGCATTATGAAGTTATCTGCAGCCACTGCAACATGAATTCAACCCCCAGCCAAGAAGCTGACCCACATGGCACAGCAGACCTCTTCTGTTTTGCCCACTGCTCCCCTCAGCAGTGTGTTTCAGTAGATCTGCCTGTTCTGCTCCCCACTCTGTCTCTGATGAATCCTCTCACACCCACTCCCCCTACACCTCTGGTTTACTCACCCCAGCTCTTGTATGCAAAAATAAACAGAATAAAGTTTTTTTTTAAAGATTTATTTGTGCACACAGAACTGGGGTACAGGCCAGAGGCTCAGGGATGGCGAGAGGCTTCACCAGAGACAGAGTGGAGAGCAGAACAGGCAGATCGACGAAATACACTGCTGAGGGGAGCAGTGGGCGGATCAGAAGAGGTCGGCCACGCCATGTGATCACGCCATGTGGTCACCTCCGGGGCAGGCGGGAATCAAATTCATGTTGCAGTGGCTTTAGATTCTTAGTGCTGTGCTTTAACCTGCTGCGCCACCAGGGAGGGCCCAGAATAAAGATTTTTTAAAAAGGAATAATTGTAAGGAAAAAAGTAGAACAGGACAGAAATGAGAAGACAGTGCTTTATGATCAGGGCCATTGAAGCAGGTGACTGGAAGATGAAAGAGTGAGTCTGCACTTGGAGGATACTCCACATGGAGAGAACAGTGCTGCAGAGGTGCTCAAGCAGACAGATGCACTGGGTGTAAGAGGAAGGGAAAGAAGCCCAGTGAGGCTGGCACAGGTGAGTGATGGGGCCAGAGGGACCACAGGCCAGATCATGGCAAGCATCAGTGATGCGAGGACTCTGGCTTGCTCTGAGCACAGTAGGGAGCTCTGGGAGGATTCTAATCCTACACACCTGCTCCTTTAAAGACTACTGACTTTGTGTGGATGGAGATGATAGAGAGAACCCATAAAATGCCTCTATCATGAAGTTTGCATTCTGGTGCAAAAATTAGGATTTAAGTCTGAAAGATGGCGTATTTGTTTTGAGATTAGGGAACATTTTATCAGAGGGAGGGCAAGGCTGTGGGCCAGCATGATCTTTGGGAAATAGAGTGGTGCTGGAGAGGGACACACCAGCAGATGGCAACAGGGAGCCAGCAGCAAGGTCCCCGGGCTCGGCTCTGCCGCTTTGCCCTCTGGGAGCCCCTGTCTGCGGGAACAGCTTTCACTGCTTTATTGAGGTGCCTGAGTCTTCGCAGTTTGAACTTTTGGATGGAGAATTATGCCTCTGGCACCTTAGGAATGCAAATGCTTGGAGGTAAAATCCACAGTGTGAGGCAGACTGTAGTGACTATGGGGATCAGGGCAAGCCAGGGAGCCCTGGAGAGAGGCTTGGGTTGCGGGACAGGACGTGAGGGAGCAGAGGCTCATTTGAATTCCCAGCCTGGACTCTGTCTCATTTCTCATTATTCTAGAACGAGATGTTTCCAAGCCACGACGTGGGCTGCCCAGTGCTCTTGTGTCTTGTTTTCCTGTCATTATAATTATTCTAGTTTGCTCTTCAGCTCCATTATGCAGGGTCCTCCAGAAGCCTGCCTTGATGCTATGTGCAAGTAAAATAAACACAGCTCCACTTTTCAGGTCAAAGGGAAGAGAGAGAGAGTGAAAGTTTACATTTGCTTTAAAATTGAGGCAGAAGAGTTGAACTTATCATCTATTCCAATCCTTGCTTTTCTTTCTTAACCACATTTTATTGATGTACCATTTGTTCATAAACCCTATTATTTCAGGAGCAGTCTCACACCTTAACATGCTTCACTGCAGCCACCAAAGTTTTAGTGCATCACATTGTCCCCTCAACCCTTTCTCCCTTCTCCTCCTCCTCCCCACTGGTAACCATCACAATTTCAAAGACTCTAAGAGTTAGTTTTGCTAGGGTGAAGCATACAATTTTAACTATTTATCTGCCTAAACTATCCAGCTTCAAGATCTGCTTCACGTTGTACTCTGTACAGTTATTTTGCCACTTTTCCTTCACTGTATTTAGATAAATAGAAACTCTGGAGAGAAGGGGACTGGGGTCAGGACTGGCTATGTCTGATCGGAGAGTGGCAGAAGGCAGAAAACTTAGAGAAGGGAGCAGAAGACAAAATGGTGGGACAGGAGATGGGGGGAACCCCTCACACAAGCAGTCTCTGTCTCCCCTCTCCCAGACTCCCCCCACTGCCCCCAGGGCTGAGGCATTGGCTCCAGCCTCCTCACTCTTGTCACCATAGTCACTGCTCTTGGCCCAGCCTCTCCCCAGGCTGCTGCTGCTGCTCAGGGTGTGTGTGTGTGTGTGTGTGTGTGTGTGTGTGTGTGTGTGTGTGTGTTTAAAGTCACTGGTGGCTGCTGTGAAAGTCCCAGTGGTGCCAGGTGGACCTGTGCCTGTCTCCCTCCCAGGACAACAGCTGCTGCTTCCTCCCTTTAGCTGGGAGTGGGTGAGGGGCAGGGAGAGCAGAGGGCTGGGCCTGGATCAGTGCCCACCCTTCAGAGTCCAGCCTCCTTCTCTCTTCCGGACTTCCACACGGCCTCTGGGTACCGATGGAAAGTCCATGAGAATTTCCCTCTAAGCAGGAGCAGATCCAAGTTCTGTTATTCTAATTTGTTGCTTGCAGGATAAATAAAGGTAATGGGTTCATTTTTGTAGCTGGAGAAAGTGAAACACACAGCAAGTTGGGGGTCAGATGAGGGACTTGCTGCGGGTCTGGGAATTCTCATGACCTTTTCTGGAACAGCTGTGGGTCTGGAAGAGGCAGCCCTGACGGAAGGCTGGAATCCTTGGCTCCCAGACCTGTGCTGCTGTACAAACTGGGATGTAGGAAAGGGGGACCCAGCCTGAGGGTGAGAGGCCTCGCCAGGTCACTGTCTCCTAAGCCATTGCCAGCTCCCCATTTAGCTACAGAATAAAATATAAATTCCTCGGCCTGACATTCAAAGGCCGCCACAATCTGGCAAACCTGTCTAACCTTGTTTCTGACATTTCTTCCATTGCGTGCTTCAACCCCAGCCATACATACCTTTCAGAATCCCCCTGTCCATTCTTAACTGTTCCTTGCGCTCTAGCGGCAGCTCCCAGGATCAAGTCCCCACATCCAAGAAACTTCTTCTGACCTCTCACCCTCCCAATTTGGAGGAATCTTTCTCACTACTAAATCCTACAGTACTTTCTTCAAAATGTGAACTTTTCTTCCTTGACTCATTTGTTATTACTTTACATGTATCGTTTTCCTCCAGTTTGGACCATCAATGCCTAGAAGATGAAGACACCTGTTGTGTTTCCTGTGGCCCTCCCATGGGACGTAGCGCAAGGCCTTGCATCTAGGTTAGGTGATTCTGATTAACCTCTGGGTTACAGACGTTTGTTCTGCCCCTGACGGATGCCAGCTCCAGTGGGATCACCAGCAATACCCACGGAGTTGGTTCGCAGCTGAGAAACTGACCATACAGCTATGGGACTTCAGCTCTGGCCTGGAGGAGAGGCTATGAGAAGTTGAGATGGTTGAAACACCCCTTTGGGCTCAAGGACACCCCAGTAATTGTCCACAACATGGTATGCTGTTGGGGAGATTTGAGTTGGACAGGACAAAACTGATACCACTGAGACTGTGGTGAGCTCACTTGGGGCAAAATCTTGGGGTTTTCTTCAATAACAGGGAATTATCTCTCTCCCTGGCACTCTTGTCAATTGTCCTACAAATTCTTAACTTGAGGAGAGGTGAAGAGAACATGCACATGATGACATACAAGTGCCATCTTTATAGGAAAAAGTCTCAAAGTTGTTTCAATGATAAGTTATCAGTATTCCTTTTGCTGGTAGAAGAACCACTTGCTCCATAATAAGCAAAAATCTCACAAAAATGTTTTCAAGTTCCAGATACTTACTAGCCCTTTCAATACATAAGGTATAAATAATTATGTCTGCCCTTGTCAGGGAATCTGATTCTCTCATTAGGCCAGGGTTTCTCAACCTTGGAACTGTTTACATTTTAAGGTGGATGAGTCTTTGCTTAGGGGCTGTCTTGTGCAATGTCAGGTGGTTAGTGGCATCCCTGGCCTCTTCCCACTAGATGCCAATAGCACCTGCGTCCAGACAAGACTACACTCCCTCCTGCTGAGAACCACCAAATGAGGCCTATGACCTTGAGCAAGGTCTTTCTTGAAACTTAGGGGCTTCGTCTCTAGGATAAGTCATGTAAATGTAAAGTCTAGTGTAGTAGGGTAACAGTTCCACACATCTCAGGCTCAGGCTTCGTATCCCTGCGAAGGCTGTCAGAACAGGAGAGGCAATTCTATGGGTCTGCATTTCCTGGGTAGGGCTTTGAGATCAGACAGGTAGGGTTGCAGTTTGGAACCTGAAGGCGTGTTGCCTGCTCAGCGCTTTTCCTGTTGGCCGGTTCAGTCGTACCTGTAACACGTTTACCTATGTCTCTTTCTTATTGATTTAAACATGTCCTCTGGACAAGAATGGTCTTTTTACCTTTATATTTCCCCCCAATATTTGTCATAGTGCTTTTCAAAAAAATATTTTACAGCAATCAGCATCGGTGGCTATCACAGAAATCTTCATGAAATGAAGACAGATGTTAGTGGGCGTTAGTTGGCAAAGCAGGCCCATGGGGAGAGCAATTGGCTCATTTTAGGAATAAAAGATATTGAATTGGGGGGAGGGTAAGAGGGTAAGGGAGTTGGAGAACCAAGGAGACCATACCCATGCATCTAGAGGTTTAGTGGCTAAAATCATGCTGACCATCTTGTTTCATTCTTTTAGTCTCATGAGGTAAGGGGGATATTAACCCCATTTTATTTTTTATTTTTTTTTTAAAGAATTATTTATTTATTCATACAGAACTGGGGTACAGGTCAGAGATGCGGAGGGTGAGAGGATTC